GTTTTACAATAATTAGTTCAAAGAAACACTGATGAATTATAGCAACATAAGCGTATGCATAGCATATGTTATACTCAAACACCATCAATCTGTTTGAATCACATTGTGTAATACTTTATTTCAAATACATTTTCGATTTTTTACAATCCTTAATAGTTTGCAACCATTTTTTCACATAACGTTACAGTTAGCATTTTTACAATTTTTTACACATTTTTACAATACTTCAGAGTTAACATTTTTGCAACAAAACACACATTTTACATTACTTAAAAGTTTAAATAGGTTTTTAAATAGATCTAACAGTTAGCAGCTTAACACTCAACTTAACCTTATATTAGCGCCCTCTATTTATAAAGTTAGCAAAACACACTACTTAACATCACTTAGTTTGGCAAATGCTGTTCCACTCTCCAAATACAAATATAGTTGGTATGTTAAATTAAAACTTACTATTTACTTGCCTTTTTAGTATTATTTATGTATTTTTTATAGATAATATCTAGTTTCTTTTTGATTTATATGCATAATTCATGTCGGGGAAGTTTTCTGTAGGCAAGAGTTTCTAAATTAATTTGGTTTTCTACTCTTAATTGACCTTTTTTTAATTTTAATTCCAGTCATTTACTTGCTAATTTCTCAAAAATCCACTTGTTTAAATTTCTTTTTGGTGATTCACGGCATTTGGTTTTACTTTTGGTTTTGACTTTTGCCTTTGCCTACGTGGATGACAGGACACAAATTGAATAATTGAAGAGTTAGGTTTAGAGGCAACTTCCCCTTGATAAGTCTGTCTCCTGCCTGCTCAACAATTATTCACTTATGTATTTTTATAATTTTTTAGGATTAAAAAATTTTTGGAATTATATATTTATTCATGGATTTTGATGCTTGCACTTGACATGCATACTATGCTCTCAGAATTTAAATGATATTGTAGATGAGTTTGCAGTAATAATTAATCATTTATTTGTTTGCATTAAATTTCATTATTTAAAATTTAATTAACTTTAAATTTGCTTTTTACGAATATAGAATGTTTGTTAAATTCAAATTTCATTCCTTGCAGCAATGGAACAAGAGATTTGAAATTTGATTTAACTTTACTATTTATCCTTTTGAAACATATATACATACTTTTTTCCTCTCAATTTTCATCAAGCAATGATGGAACTGGTTGGAGTGGGGGGAAAGCATAATGGGAAATCAATACTGGGGTGGGGGAATCCTAAAAAAATTCAAATTCATTAACAATCCTTTTAGTCTGTTTTCAAGATGCAGCCAAGAAAATTTTCAATGAAGCTGCATTTCTGAATTATATCCAAATAAACTACAAAACAGAAGTAAATATTTTTCCATGTTCTAAATTTTGAACATCAAATTTGTATGTCAAATCCAAAATAGAAATTTTAAAATAAAAAAAGTACTTGAAAATTTTAATAATAATTTAACTAAATGCTTCATCAAGACGTAACCTGCTCTGACATGACTCACAAGGCAGTTAACATTTATTTTCTACAATAATAATACAGAAAAATGTAATAAACGTAAGTAATTTCAGTTCAACAGAAAAAAAAATAATAATAAAAGTGGCAGTTACTTGGAAGATCAAAGGAGCAAAAAAGCTTTCTTAATGGCCATTGATAGCATCATGTAATCAATGTACAAACTCATTGAAAGAACTCTAGTTTATTGTTATTTTCAAAAATAAAAAAATTATCAATGCATTTATAACAAAATGTGCAAAGCTGAAGTTTATGGGTCTAACTGCTATAATTACCAATTTTACACTGCATACTACTCTGTGGGTCATTACTGGGGCAGGTTTATGATGATGAATGCATTTAATTAAATTATAATTCAAAATTTTTGAATATTTATTATTTTAATTTTATTTCAAGATTTCTGTTTTGAATTTGAGTTGAAAACTTTAAAGTTTGGTGCTCAAAATTTTAAAAATATTGTTTAACCTTGTTTTACAACAGATCCAGATATAATTCAGAAAAGTGGCTCTAGTGATAATCTTTTGCCTGTTCCTTGAAAAAGACCAAAAAAGTATTAACTCATTTGAATTGTGCTTACAATTTAATTTTCTTTTGTTTTTCAAGATTAATTACCTATTTTGTTTTTAATTTTCTCTCTTCATGTTCATTAATCTTTTATCATTGGCTTATGAAAATTTTTTGAAAAATCTTGCTTTATTCACATTGATTTTGCAACATTTTGTACAACTAAAAGTTTATAGTAAAATATTCTCTAATTTTGTTCTTTATATATCCACATTATGTGTGTGTCTGTGTGCACACAGGTATGTTAAGTAAATGTTTGTGTAAGTTTATATATGCATCCAACTTTATAATCATTAAGTTGGATTAAATATAGACATTTTAAATTCTGTTCTATGTTACCTAAAAAGTTTTGGGTCATTTGGAAAGTTCTTTGAAATTTTGATGATAAATAAAAATGAAGCAATATATAAATGAGAGAAAATTTCATTGAATTGCATAAGCATCTTTTTTTCTCTGACTTTTCGCTGTCCCTCTGGCAGCTGAAAAACTTCTTTTTTAAAAAGTTATTAAGTTTATTCATGAAGTTAATAAAATATGGAGATACCATGCATAGCATATGCTACTTATATAAGCATATAATATGAAAATAAATATATACACACATATAATTATATATATAGATAGATAGATAGATAAAGTTAAAACTTAACAGGCAAAGAAAAAACAAGTAAGAAAATAAACAATACATTATTAATTGAACAAATGAATGGTACTGCAAATATAAATGCAGTTAACTGAAATTTTTAAAAATTATTTTTTTTTAAATTTAAAAACTAAAAATGGAGTCAAAATAACATTAGCCATATAATACAAATTAAAATATAGTGGTTTAAATGACTATAAAAATGGATGTATTATTATCTTCGGATTCTTATGCTTTCAAGAGGAGGTAAAGTCTTTCTATGAAAATACACTTTATCGGAGACAGATTTGTTATGTTTCTGTAAGCTCAAAATTATCCAAGGCACTGAATTAATAATATAAGTATTTTTTTCAGTACCCCTGAAAATTATTAAACTCCTTCCCTAGAAAACAAACCTAATCTACATAAAAAGAAAAAAATAACAATAGTATCAGCCCTATACATGCACTATACAGGTGAAAATTCCAAATAAACAATAAAAAATACAAAGTTTTTTTATCATTTATACTGCTATATTATAGTTTATATGATATTGTTACGAAATGCCCAAATGCAGTAAGATATCTTCCCCGTAAAACAGGTTTAGTATTGCAAAAAAAAAAAAAAAAAAAAAAAAAAAAAAAAAAAAAAAAAGGCAAGGGAAGGGAAGGTAAGGTAGGGTTGCAGATTTGGTACGAAATCGTCTATTTGACAACAAAATAGGGAATATGCCATAGACAGATGGAGAACATTCTGGAATGAATTCTTACTGGTTTGGCCCAGAATGTTCTCGAAGGCAGGCCAAAAGCCATATGCGGAGTAGCAGTGTATTGCAAGTTAGTGCATCAAGAGTGCGCATCGTTGAGGCTACAGAGTGTCTCATCAGTGTATCGTCAAGTGTATCATGACAAGTATCTTGAGCGTGTTGAGCTCCGAAAGCGATCGACCGACTCAGAAGCTGTATTTAACATTTTGCCACGAAGCTGTCTTCACAGTTGCAGCCTGAAGGCTGTGCTGCCGATTGTTTCAGCGTGCTTGTCATAGGTTTTCATTAACTGTAAACGTATTTTAGGAACTCTCCTGAGTAATACTGGCAAATAAATTGTGTTTTGATACCTCAAGTGTTGTCGTCAATTGCGCCAAATCCACGAACCTGTAGAATGCAACAATATGGTAAATATTATTTTGACTTTATTTTTAATTTTAAATTTAAAAAAAATTTAGTTAATTCAATTTATATTCACAATACCAATAATTTACTTGATTAATTAAAATAAATTTAGTTAATTCAATTTATATTCAGAATACCAATAATTTACTTGATTAATAATACACTGTTTATTTTTTCGTTTGTTTTTCTTTTGCCTGTTTAGTGTTAATTTTATAAGTAACAAATTATATTAGCAGCAGAAAATGTTTTTTAAGTCTTTATTACATATATTTTTTCCAATCTAATTATACATATATCTATATGTAAATTAAAATTATAATTTAAACCAAGGATTCTCAACCAGTGGTATGCAAGAGAAAAATAGATGGTATGTAAAGAACTTAAATTCAAAAATTAAAACCCCAACATCCTGATTGAGTTTTTTTTTTTCTAACACTTGTAAATTTATGCAATCTGAGCTTTATTCAAGAGTGGTGGTGGTACTAAAGATTTCAATTTTTGTTTAGATGGTACGCGTTAGTCAAAAGGTTGAAAACCGCTGATTTAAACTAACAATAACCCTTTCTTTCTCCCTCTCTGTTCTAAAAGTCACAATAACTTCTCTGAATTGCATCATTTCTAGATCATTCCATTTTGCATGACTTACGCAATGCTGATTATGTAACTCTTGGAAAATGAAACTTTTTAAATCTAAACCAAAACCTTTCTCTTAAAAGACTATCAGATTAGATTAAATGTGCAGTTAGTTTGCAGCTCTGTTACTGTTTGGACACTATTACATTTCGCTAATGCTTTGTCGTACTGCTAACTGCGCAGTTATTAAAAATGTGATACTCTATATAAAATTGTGGCCTGCATGTTATACACCCATGATCATGTGTGATAAAAAATATATTTTCGATAATTATTTCGTGTTCAGCAATAAAGTTTATGTTCAGTCGGCTACATCGGTCTAGAAGTCTCTCCTTTGATTGTCATCTTTCTAATTACGCAGCAGATTCTCCAAGTTATTATCATATATACATGTATGTGTGTGTGTAATAATATAAATAAAAACTAAATATCAATAAAAAAGGAATATCAGAATCTAGTTAAGAATGTTTTAATTAAAATTTCATGAAAAGCAAGAATGACTTACAGGATTCCTTTTAGATATAACTTTCACTTCAGCAGATTCTTCAATTTTTGAATTTATCCAAAAAAATCGAAATTCAGTCTGAAATAGTTTTATATTGCAGTTTAATGTACACATTCATACATATTACAACAACACAGAAAATTTTCACATTAAGTCTAAGTTTTATGTTATCAGACAACTGAAATTATTCATACATAAATTCTACAAAGCATTACTAGGAAGAGAAAAAAAAATGCTAGCAATGAAATATCGAATTATATGAGTGCAAAAATGACTTACTTCAGAATCAAAGCAAGGGTGTGAGTTCCAACACATTACATCTAAAATATAATATGTCTTATCTATTTCATTAAAAATGCAATCTAAAAGGCAATAAGCATGCCGCACACCACCACCTAAAATAAATTTTTACATGTAAATGCTTAATTCTAAATAGACTTTGCATTAAAAAAAAAAAAAAAAAAAAGAATAAATAAAGATAAGGTACTTTTACACTAGTTTATTCATTAATAAAATAAAATGTTAATAAAAAAATTAAGAATAATATAAAAATTTGTATTTACTTTTATTCCCACCGGGCAGCAGTGACGGAAAGGTATTCACACGGTATCCACTTTTTGTAAATACTTTTGTATTGCCCTAAAAGTACAAAAATAATAAGAAAAAAACATTATTACTAATTTTTAATTTCAGTGATGACATGGCAAAAAGAAATATTTTAGGTAACAATAAATTACGAATTAAAGTGAATTTTCTGAAATCAGTATGACTTGAATGATGTCAGATACATGCAAACATTTCAGAACCCTTTTCATCTCCTTATAGATAAAATATTATTCATCATTAATATTCATTTGCTTAGTAAACACATATGTTAAATGAATTCACCTATTGTTTCATATTCAGACATGTTTTTCCCTTAAGTGACCCATTCTTTTGCATTATTTTAAAAACAATTTGAGAAAATGTAAAAAACATAAACCTTCTTTAATTAATCTTACAATAATTACTTTCAATTAAAGAGATTATTTTATTTAGACAAACCACATCAGTGTCATCTGACTAAATCCCATCTAAACTTTTCCTAACAAGGAAGGTTTGCCAACTCTAATCAGTATTTTTAAAAAATATGTATATGAACCTGCTCATCTAAAAATACACAATGAAAAAAATAGTAGCTAAAATGTTACACACAAGCAAATAAAAATATGTAAATTATAATGATATTTGATTTTGCAGCATTATTTGGAAATTTTTCAGAATTTTAAAATACTACTTTCTAAATCTAATTCTTAGAATGAAAATATAAAATAATGAACAAACATTAAATGCAGGACCTTAATCTACATGCATTCCTTCATGTACGAGTTTCATTAGTTTATATTTTGCTTATTAAATACGGTTAACAACATGCTTGTTAAGACACAATAACACGCCGAATAAATACTAATTCAGAAGTCAAACAACAAAAATCAGCGTTAATTTACAAATTTTCACAGGACTAGTTTCGATGGTTTTACCGAACCATCATCTTCAGCTGCAAAACCGCAAATGAACAAGATAGGAAATAATGTTTAGATAAGATAAGAAAGCCTGGACAAGAATAAGCAAGTGGCGCCGGCGCCATCTGTTGACGAAACCAGAACTAAAACATAATTTCTCTAAAAGCCGAAGGCAAATTTGGATTGGAATTAGGATCGTTAACTAGAACAGAAAGATTTTTATGAATGTGAAATGCCTCTAGAAAATCCAGTTCTCCAATGGAAGATGTTTTTTGAATAATTTTGGCAGCAGAAAAATTGAAAGTGTGATTTTCGGACCAACAATGTTGAGCAACAGAAAACTTCTGTGTTTCCTTTTTTCTAACATAATCAAAAACCTTCGAGTTGCGTTTCAAGAATTCTGTTAAATTGCAAACTTGCCTTACTTCGGTCCGTGATAAGGGATACACGTCAACAATTGTCCAAAATTGAACATGAACTCTATAAGCTTCATCTGGAACTCGCTAAAACATATCCAAAATTCACTGCCCTTGAACAAAAGTCTTGGTCTAGAACGGAGAATGCAGTTAACCGTTAACATCATAAAAAAAACACCCTTGCAGTTAAATTCGAAAAAAACTTCTTTTACAGTCTTCCAGTTCAAGTAGTTCAAAAAAATCTTCCCATTGTAAACATCAAGCCAATAGTTAATATTTCTAATGTTAGTCTTTCAGAAGAACAAGAGAGAATTCTAAAATATAATTTTAACTTCTCACAAACCTGTAAACCCTCGATTCCAAAGATTTCGGCTCCTATCGAAAAAGCTTTCAAGTTCAGTAAAGTTTCAGATTCACAGAAAGAAATGATTAGGCATCTTATCGCTCATAATGTGAAATTCAATAATAAACATTTGAAACCAAATCTAACTGCGAGAGAAAGAGCTACAATGCGCGAAATTCATTCTAACCTGGATATTATCATTTCAAAGGCCGACAAAGGTGGCCAGATAGTCGTCATGGATAAGAACACTTACATCGATGGTGTCACTAAACTCTTAAACGAAGGACCATATAATCCGATCCCTAAAGATCATTCACCTTCGGACTTATCCAAAATAAAAACTGCGATCAAATCTTCGCAAATCATTTCAAGCAACTTAAAACATTCGCTTATCCCATCTGTTGCGAATTGTGCCAGATTATATGCTCTTCCCAAAATTCATAAAAGTGGTATTCCTTTCCGCCCTATTGTATCAAATTTAGGTACTGCCTCGTATCCATTAGCTAAATATTTAGTTTCTAGATTTTCCAATCTATTAGACAATAACATTTACACTATAAAAAATTCAATAGAGTTTGTAAAAAAGGTTAAAAACATTTCTCCTCGTAATTTACTCATGGTTTCTTTTGATGTAAAATCATTATTCACCAATGTCCCAGTGGAGGGTGCATTAAGATGTCTAGAAACCAGACTTCGCGAATTTCACTTCTCTTGCATCGAAATTGATGAGCTAATTTCTCTCACTCAACTCTGTTTGAAACAAACACATTTTGTTTTCCAAAATAAATATTACAAGCAAACTGAGGGATTAGCCATGGGAAGCCCCCTCAGTCCCATCCTGGCTGATATCTACATGCATTATTATGAATCAAAATTGTTTGAAACTTTAAACTTCCGGCATGGTTCATGGTTCCGCTACGTATACGATACTTTTACCCTGTTTGAAGGTAATAAAGATGATTTAAATAGAGTTCTTTCAACAATGAATTCTATTGATCCTGCTATTCAGTTCACTTTTGAACTTGAGACTTGCAATTCTCTTCCTTTTCTCGACATTCTGGTCACACGTAACACATCCAACTTCAGTACTACAGTTTACCGTAAACCTTCATCGGTTTGCCTTCCACCACACTTTAAATCATGTCATCCGACTAAACAAAAGTTAGCTTCATTTTATTCCTATGTTTTCCGTGCTCTTCAAGTTTGCTCCTCCAAACTAGCCCTTGATGAAGAACTAAATTATTTAAAAGCAATAGCTATTGACAGGGGCTTTTCACCCAACATTATTAATCAAGCAGTTAAAAAATTCTCATCTCAACACACTAAAAGCCACACTCTTATTTTAGGAGATTATAAAAATTCTGTTGTCATTCCCTTCTTTCCATCAATTAGCTATAAAGTTGCACATATTTTGCAGAAATTTAACTTTCGGGTTGTTTACTCTCCCATCAATAAAATTCCAACTTCTATACTCAAGGACCCCATTCCGGATATGAATTCCTGGGGTATTTATAGGATTCCTTGCCAGTGCGGTTTTAATTTACGTTGGCCAAACTAAGAGAGCCTTAAAATTTCGCGTCAAAAGAAACATGAGGCATATGTTAGAAAAAAAAGGAAACACAGAAAGTCTTCTGTTGCTCAACATTGTTGGTCCGAAAATCACACTTTCAATTTTTCTGCTGCCAAAATTATTCAAAAAACATCTTCCATTGGAGAACTGGATTTTCTAGAGGCATTTCACATTCATAAAAATCTTTCTGTTCTAGTTAACGATCCTAATTCCAATCCAAATTTGCCTTCGGCTTTTAGAGAAATTATGTTTTAGTTCTGGTTTCGCCAACAGATGGCGCCACTTGCTTATTCTTGTCCAGGCTTTCTTATCTTATCTAAACATTATTTCCTATCTTGTTCATTTGCGGTTTTGCAGCTGAAGATGATGGTTCGGTAAACCATCGAAACTAGTCCTGTGAAAATTTGTAAATTAACGCTGATTTTTGTTGTTTGACTTCTGAATTAACATGCTTGTTTTTAATCAGCATTTTTTCACACTTTTACAATAACAGTTCATGCAAGAAGATACATGTTGTTTTATCAAGATAAGCTAAATTAAAAAATCTAAAAAATGAACAAAACGTAATGCATATGAAAAATGTGGTCAGAATTCAGCAAAATTAATTCTGAAAATCGTTTTATAGGAAGATTTTTCAAACTGCAGTGCGCAGCATTTTCGCCATTCTATGCAATTACTTTGTTTGATGCCCCATATTGAATTAAACAAAATATATGTAATTATTTACTACTTGTGAGAACAACTTCGTAGTTGCCCTCCAGAAACCAGTACCTTAGGAAGCTGCCTATGTCACCTATGTTGAAGCCAGCTCTTGCAAATTATATGTTTCAAGTTATTATCACAGTGCTGATTATGAATTAAATGCGTAGCACAGAAATCATCAAAATGATACATTCTGCAATAGTTACATACACCATATGGCATAAAAGTATCAAATTCAGAATTGTAAAAAATTCTGAATCAGCATAATTCATGTGTACAAAAGATACTGCAAGTAAATAAATACAAGTTAACTGTAACATTTTTTTTAATACACTGAATAATTAATAAGCAGTCACTAACATAAGATTAAAATATTTGATAACTTTATTTCAAAATGTAGGATTTCTAGTAAAATACTCAGTGATTTCAATAAAAAAGTGGCATTGTTTGCATTAATTTGAATATTACAAACTTAATACGTAAGCAGTAAATAAAAAAAAATTATGGCAGTTACGTATTATCCTATCGACCGTGAAAGTTGGCTACCATCAAACCATAAAAGCTGGCAACAATCCCACCAGAGTTATCTTTCCTATGATATTCTGAAGGAACTAACTCCTCTTTATTTAATAAACAGTCAATGTTCCACCCAATTTGTTTCTGTGTTTTGAAAAAGGCTTAACACCAGCCTTTATCTTTTTGAATCACAGGCTTGGAAATGCCAAAATGAGATACTTGAAACAGTCTCCTTCAATTCATAAAGCTTTAACAAAATTGCTTCCTGACTCCCAGTTTTACATGCACAGGTGGAAATGTACTATTCTTTCTGTCAGCTTCAGGTCAGATCTTGATGGCCAATCTGACTGCACCCAATGCTTCTCACAAGCTTTGCTATCCAACATACTTGGATATATTTGGTATATCTACACTGCTGGCCAAGGAGGAAGCGGACCATTTTAAGGTCAACACAGATGATCCATTTGTGCATTCTTCCAAGATCTTCAGGTTCAAAATCTTGGTCATTGGGCTCAATTTGATATTGATCAGAATCGTTTTCCTGTATTTCTAAAATGGGTATTTTTTATTTTTTTTAAATCTGGTACTGGGAATTCAGCTGAGGCACTGGACATATAGCTGATAATAAACTAGGATACTTAATTTTATACTTGTTTTTCTTGTTATATCCTCACGTTTTCACTTTACAAAAATAACAATCACTTGAGTGATGTTTGGGCTCTCCACAAATCATAACGAAATTTAGTACATTCCCTACATCCAGATCCATAAACTCATAATTCACTGCTAGCCAAAAAGGAAGCATAACATTTTAAAGTCAATAGTTGATCCACTAGTGCAGGTGTTCTCTTCATCCATATCTGTAAACTCTTCGCACACTGCTTGCACACTTTGTGAGGAGCCAATGATTTATCTTGATCATCAGTTTTCACTTTAAAACAGGCAAAATACAGGGTGATCTTTTTTAAAGTGACAGTGTTTGGAGCGCCCTGTAGTGCTATCTAATAGCCGAAATGGTACCAAACTTGGTATTTAGACTACATGGGACTACAAAACATGGGTATTTAGACTACAAAACATGGGAAAAAGGATTCCATGAAAAAATAATATTAGTTCCAAAAATCGCTGCTAAGGCATTTTGTAGCGCTGCTGTAGCTTACAATAATGAGAATAAGCATAAAAAATGGGTATCAAAGAAAAATGCAAATGTTGTGCGATGACAGCACCAGTGATAGGGGCTATAAAAGCAAGTAGTGACAAATAATCTCAGCTGAAGCAAACGAGCTCCAGCAGACATCCCTCTCACGTTACCGGAACGTGCGTTACTGGTGAAGCTGTATTACATGAATCAATGTAATGCATCCGCAGCTCTTCGGGAATTTCGAACCAGAAAAAAATTACAAAAGGGACTTTTATCGCTGAATGGTCTTAAGAAATTCGAGGAAATGGGGTCACTGACCATTCGCGCTGGGAGAGGACGTCAACCAGTATCAGAAGATGTAATAACTGATGTGGCAACTGCAATTGTTGAAGGATTGCAGGGAACCATTGCTGGTACTAGTAGCGCCCGGGGTGTAGCTCGAAAATTGGACATGAATTATTCCACGGTATGGAGAGTTTTGTGGCGCATTATTGGATTTCACCAATACAAAATCAGCCGCTTGCACGAAACCAAGTGATTACGATAAGCGAGTGACATTCGCTCTTCATTTCTTACCAGGGTAGAAATTGATGATGCTTTTCCATGAAATATTCTGTGGGAAGATGAGTGCCATTTTTATCTCAAGGGTCCGTAAACACACAAAATACTAATAGCCGAATTTGGGCTTCTGAGCAGCCCCACACCGTGCACGAAATCCCATTAAATTCCCCAAAAGTCACTGTTTGGTGTGGTTTCACAGCTGAATTCGTAATTGGGCCATTCCTTTTTGAGACCATCATTCCGAAAGGACCCCAAATGTGCACCATAAATGCAGAAAGGTACCACAAAATGCTGCAAACGTTTGTTATTCCACAACTTCAGCAAAAAAACTGTCTCCAACAGACAATCTTTAGGCAGGATGGTGCTCTGCCACACATTAATAATATAGTAAACCAGCTGTTGCGCAAAACTTCACTGATGATAAGAGTCATAAGTCGCAGTTTTCCAGTTGCATGGCCGCCTCATTACCCTGACCTCACGCCACGCGATTTTTGGCTCTGGGGCTATTTGAAATCTCACGTTTATGTTGGTGGAGTATCAAATTTGTCTATTCTAAAGGACAACATAACAAAGACAGTGTGGAATATTCCTTGTGATATGTTACATACGGCTGTGGAGAACGTTGTGCACAGAATGCACGGTGTTATTTCTGAGAATGGTGCTCACATTGAATGTGGTCTTATTCCTCACCGGGGAAGTTAACGTAGTAAATAAACATTAATAATTTAACTGTACTATTGTATGTCTTGATTGGTCTAAATACCAAGTTTGGTGCCATTTCGGCTATTAGATCGCGCTACAGGGCGCTGTCACTTTAAAAAAGATCACCCTGTATGCTTGCTAGATAAATGTACTGATGTTTATCCTTTGACTAGGAATTGTAAAACTGCCACATATAGAATAAAACAAATTAGGGTTTGGTTTATGCGATTACAAAGACTGGAAGCCTATCTGCCTAACGGAAGGGATTCCTTTGTGGAAGACTTTCTAAGGAAAACTGGCTTGTATACATGTTACACATGGAGAAAACCCTAAAAACGTCCCTGCAGCCAGCCTGATCACGGAATTCGAACCTCAGACCAAACTACGAGTGTTCAGCAACTTTACTACTCAGCCGCTGGTGGGCCAAAACAAATTAGGTCTGTTTAAAAGCACATGTGCAAACTATCAGAGGCAGATATAAGGAAAGGTCTCAGATTAAAAATAAATAAAAATTAAACACTGCTAACCTTAAACAAGAACTTCCAAGTCCATGCCAATAGGAGATCAGTAGTTCTTCCTATGATCCACACTCGATGCCATGGAGAGCAGTCACATTCACATAAGGTGTAGAGAAAAAAAAACTTCACTGGTAAAAGAAAACTAACTACAGTTTTCAAATCAGTATGCCTATTTAACTCAAACAGCTCAGAAAATGAACTCAACAGAAATTGTATTGAAAATTGTTTCCCAGCATAATTAATATGCCTAATATATTTTACACCTTTTATGTTTTTACAAATAGAAATAATTAGTTTATTATCTTTAAGCATATGAAATAAGCAGCCTCTGTAGGGAGCTTTCAAAGGAAACTTGCTCATGTTAATGTCACAAATGAGGGAAACAATGAAAACAATATAATGCCACAAACAGAATTCACAGCAAACTAGTTTTTTTTAGTCTTTCACCATTTGGTCATTGGTCAGTACACATCTCTAGAAGTTTGAAAATCCCCATGCTTAAAACATGTATGTGATGAAATTTTGAGTTTGTCATAAATGATAATTATAATGATAGTTAAATAGTTACAATGAAGATACAGCCATAACTAGTTGATACCATTTTAAAACATTCCTGAAAATGCACACTGGTGCAAGATGGGCACTATAACTATAAGAGCACATTCACATACTTGTAGTATTATAACTAGTGATGAAGAGAAATGGCAGACAAGATATTAGCTGTATACATGCAAATGTTAGAAGAAAAGATATGCTATGGATACCAGATTAACACTAGTTAACTTCAATTTAATTATAACTGGATAAAAGATTTATTTCCACTTTCGCCATTAAGTGCACATTCATGTTAGTGTTACATAAGAATCATTGGACAGGGATTTATTTCGAAATGATACATTTCATGATGATTTATTAAAAGTATGTGATGCTTTTTTAGGGTAGGCAGAAGAAATTACCAGATTAAAAGAGAGACAAAAAAAGAGAGGCTGTTACAAATTAAACATATTTTTTTATCTTGCACATATTAAGAAATTAAGAAAATAATAGTGATGAAATTATTATTAAGACTTGGGCTTTCAGGATGACTAATTTTTGAATTCGTAGTTGAAACATAGATGTTTCACAAAACTTAATCCCTTTTCCTTCAAATTTTAATTAACATTTTTTTCATAAGAATGAACTATTTTAAAATCATCATTAGAAATTTATTCCAAGAAAAAAAATTTCAGTATCTTTGTAGCAAAATATTTCCTGAAGCATATCCCAGAATACCACAATGTATAATAAGAATTTTTTTCATTTCACTGAATTACACTACAGAATTAAATAAACATAATTTCAACTAAGCAAATCTATATTTAGTTATAATCATTAAAAGAAAACTATTATACAAATTAGGGAATTTTAGAGATATAACTGAAAAGTTAGCAAAATTAATAAAAATGACATTTTGGTAATATTATTATCTAGAATAAAAACTTCCAGTATTGGTAATAAATAAATATACATGACATTTTTTGAAGAAAATTATTAATCAATAAAATTTTATGTTAAAAATTGTAAATCAGTATTAATAGACAGACATAAGATATTGCAAAATATATTTCTTGAAAAGAAATTTATGGCATAAAATTATTTCAAATCACTGTATTACTATAAATCAAATAAATAACCCTTAGCAACTACACAATAATATTTAAGTTACATACCCCAGATGAAACAACAAGGCATCGCTTTCCGACAGGGCAAAGCATTAGGAACCACTGACTTTCCAAATCAGAGGGTATTTCAACAAGCCATTCTGAATACATCAGCTAGATAAAATAATAAATATTCATATAATTAATGTTTAATTTTCATATACTGCCTAAGCACTATTTTATTTAATATCTATAAGTTTAATTAGATAACACATGAAAATCATTATTTATCTTTATTTATTTATTTTCAACTTCAAAATTTACCTTTCATACAAAAAGTAATATATTACATGATCAGCATTTTAAATGCTAAGTTAAGCTTTTCAATTTCAAGAACATAACACATAATAAATGAATACATATTAATTTCTTCTCTAGCAAACTAAAAATGTAAATGTGTCTAGCAAAAAATTCAGCCCTCCATAGAGGAGCAAAAAAAAAAAAAAAAAAAAAAAAAAAATTTTTATAAAAAACCAGTCTTTAGAATATATATCTTCAAAAATTTTAAAAATATTTTTAAAAAATTATATACCTTCCACACACACAAAATATATTAACCACTAGCGCTAAAAAGCTTTTGTCTCAAACCACGAGCCATGTGAACACCACGTTGATAGGCATTTATCCCAAAAATGAAAATAACGTGGTGCACACATCACCTAACGAGATTGTTTATTTGAGTTACAGCTCTGGATTGCACTCGCAGAGGCGGAGCGGCGTAAATGAGACACTTTACTGCTTGTTATATTGCAGCGCACGGCACCACAACCATGAAGTTTAGTCGTAGCGCAAGTGGTTAAAAGATAATATATTAAATTTCAATTTATCACTCACAAAATACTAAGTTTTTAGATTTTAAGATACCAAAATTAAAATTTTCAAATTATTCATAATTAACTTTAGTATTGTTACGAAATATACAGGCACGGTGAAATGGCTTTCCTACAAAGCAGTTTTATGGTTGCCATATTTGGCGAGAAATCGCCCATTTGGCGACAAGCCATGGATGGATGGAGAACCTTCTGGAATGAATTCTTACTGGTTTAGCCCACAATGTTCTCGAACACAAGGCGAAAGCTATATAAACCCTGCTGGTCCGCAGTCAGTATGTGCTTCATCGAGAGGGCGAGTTAGAGTGCTTCGTCTGGAGAGCGAGTTAGCATTGAGTGTGCCTCATCTAGTCAGCTGTGTGGAGTTGATCAAGTTCACAGCTGCGCAGCGAGTGACAAGTGGGTGGGTCGTCGAGTGCACCGAAGGAGTCTCGTAGTGTATCGCATTGTCGAGAGAGCGTGTTGAGCTCCGGGAACGACTGAACCGAAGAGTCGTGAGCTGTGCTCTGTGTGTCGTTGATTGCATTGCAAGTTGCAGCGTGGAGTGTCTCGAGAGTACGTGGAGTTCCGAGAACAGCTCCCGAAGAAGAGTCGGGAGCTGTACTCTAGAGCTTTGCCGTGAAGCTGTCTCTACCGTGATAGCCTGATAACTTGGAGGCTGTGTCGCTGATCGTGTCTGCGTGTTTATAGTATTTCATCGATGACTGTAAAAGTGTTTTGGAGCTGTCCTGATTAATATTGGTAAATGAAGTGTGTTTCGATACTTTGTCAAGTGTCGTCGTTATTCATTCGAAATCCACACGAACCCCGTACGAATGTGAAGGAAGAAAATAACCTAACAGTATAATTTTTTTATTGATTTTAAGTATTACTAACATGGAGATTTCCAATGAGAGGGGAAAAAAATTAAAGAATGAAAAGAGTAAATACTATCATAAAAATCAGAAAAGAAATTATTATGAAAAAAAAAACATCAAGAAAAAAAAATCTAAGCATAGAAAACACAAACACATGAACAATATATATAAGGGGACCACAAAATAAATCTGGCTTATTCAGAACACTCTGTAACTACAATGTTTTCTAAAATGCAGAATAATTCGAAAATTTGTAAATAGGAAATTCAAAGGATGGGTAAAAGATTCCTGGAAAAAAAAAAAAAAAGTCCGTTAGCGAACACATTACAGCCAAAATTCTTGAAAAGACATATAATATATAACTACAGAGTATTATAACATTTTCAAGCATTATAGCATTTAAAACTGTTATTTTTATACTTTTCAGCTGTAAATCATACTTTGCAGCAGACAATATAAATAATGATATTGCAGCACCGCATGTGAAGAAGAGAACAATCTGATTTGCATAAGTTCTGAGTATAAAAAGGAGGAGACCAAGTGAGTAACATTTTCTTTCAGTAGCAGTCACTATTAGTTTAGCATAACATACTGTGACAAGGTCGCATAGATATTCTTTGTCTGGTTGTCCAGGGGACTGATTTCGAATGCAATGGTACCTCTTCACACCACAGTAGAAATCTTGTAGCAATGAGGTCCCTTTGTTAAGGACTCTAGTTTCAGCCTAAAAGGTCACTCCAAAGGTTGGAGGAAATAAAGAAGCCTTTCACTCTAGAGTCAGAATGATTGTTAGATATAAGTGGATCCCCCCCCCCCGAGTTCAGCAGAGGTTACAACACTGTGAATTAGTAAAGTTTTGGCAGCGAGAAAGGAAGGTGGTTTTCTGAGAAGAGCCAGGACCTTTCTGCTGGAGCTATGGACATTTTGGCTCCCTAGAACTATCACTCCTCCTGTATGTTGTTGACCGTGCACATTCCTGTTTAACAATTTCTGAAATTACGGGACTGAATGTATCTAGGTCCCCTATTGTCATGAACTGCAACTGCTAATTTTTTTTATTTTATTAAAATTCATGTTATTGTTCGAACTTGAGTAAGAAGTTCATTTCAACCCTGTTTTACAACACGGGGTTTGTGTAGCGGTTTCCGCCATACACAACAGCAATATTATAATTGGTGGTAGCATTTAGGGATTATTCCTGAAAGTAAATTTAAGAATAAACTTCTTGCCTGTGGACTTCAGTTAACATCATGTGTTGTTAAATTACAGAAATAGTTTCTCAGTCAACAAGATAATATGTTAACCACTTGCACAATGACTAAACTTCACAGTTGCGGTGCCGCGCGCTACAATATAACAAGCGGTAAAGTGTCTCATACGCCGCTTCGCGTCTTTGAGTGCAGTCCAGAGCTGTAACTCGAGAAATAAACAATCTCGTTGTTAGGCGACATGTGCACCACATTATTTTCATTTTTGCGATAAATGCCTATCGACGTGGTGTTCCACGTCAATCGCGGTTTGAGACAAAAGCATCTCATCATCTTTTTAGCGCAAGTGGTTAAGTAGAAATGTAGCAACCCCGTAATGGTTGTGGGTGCATTACAGCAGGGCAGAATTTGGCTTTTGAAATTCATCCTTTCTTGTGGCTGCTGCTTATAAACCATTCTTAAGTAACTGTGATAATATTTTTTCTGAATGTGTGCCTTCCTTGGATGAACTTTTTCTCTGAATTTTATCCTAGTAAAGTGAGCTTTTCCCAAATTTATGCAATTCTCTGATCTTAAACAAACTGTTAAGTTAAAACAGATGAATGTGTACATGGGAGAACAGCCAGGAAAGAGTAACTATTTCATTATGAATGCTTCTTGCATTTTTTATTTATTGTCATTTTATGTAATTTGTTCAGATTTCTATCCTGATTGTTTCTAGCATTTTTAATTTCGTTAATTTGCTGCAGTTTTAAATAATTTTTAGTGCTCCACCTTTTTTTTGAAAATGGCTACTGTTTCTGACATTTGAGGTTAGCAAAAAATTAGTCAGCGATGACTGGCGACTTTGAAGGAGAGTTGGGTGGATAATCAGAGAAAACCAATTTTTCTTTCTTCGATTTGCAGCATTTTTTGAAAATGAAAATATAACACAAATATTAAAAAAAACTTTTTATGTTTCTAACTGAAATTTAAGATGAAGAATACAAAATGATCATCAATAATTTTACTCATAAATATACTTTACTCTTTTTCATAATGAACATCTTTTGCTTGTCATAGGAAACACAGTTACATGCTCTGATAATAAATATCTATAACAAAACATATGTCTAACATATTGCTTGGAGGTTGGTATTTGCTTAAAAGATAAACATGCAACTTAATATGTTTTGAATACAATAAAAATGATGAATAGCATTAGTTATGAGACATGCCTTATTTTTTAACATAATTCAAATTGCATAGCTTCCCCTTCCCATGAAGGTAGTAGCTTCCTTCACTTGCTAAACACAAACAATTCTAAAACATCTGGCATGAACATAAAGGCAGCTAGAGGAGATAGAAATAAACAAATTTTGTAATGGAATCTATTTGTGGAAAGAGGGATGTGTAGGTGCTGGCATCTAAGGAAGGTATAAATAACAGGTGTAAGAAATAGAGATGAAGTCAACAGAAACACTTTAATGATTTAGTTTTTTTATAATGCATGGTTGAAAATATGACCATGAACAATAATACACGATTTACAATAGCAATGCATGAATTGCCATACATTAGCAAAGATCTCACACATCTCATGAATATAGCAAATGACAATCTAGCCACTAGACCTTCAGTGGACTCAATGGTACTTCCAGAGATGATTCTTTTTATTATGATCCCAGAAGAAGAAACCCATGCATGTCTAATCTGATGATCATGATGACCAAAGTCTAATCTGATCACCCTGATGATATCCACCTAGTCCAACCCAAAGGGGGACATTTTGTGACATCTTTCCCCTACTCACACCTCAACTGCAAACAAAGAATGATCCATTCTTTTACAGCTCTCAGTTAAAACACTCCAATGTTTGGCAATTTTGCAACTGACATAGCTACTCAGAATTTTTTTGTCTATACATCCTCTGAGCTGCTGCTCCACTTTTATCTGCAACCTTACAGATAAAATGCATGATGTCTAACTTTGCATTCATATAGCAATGAATAATGCTTGAATTCTTCATGGGAATTCGCAATTTAAGCCTGTTTACTTTTTTCCTACTACTCTTATCAGCACCTTCTAGCACTTTGATATTTAAAGGCAGACATTCCCTTACAAAAGCTGATTATTTCAGACTTTTCTACCTGCCTTGTCATCTATTTTTGAATCACTCTGTAACTGCATTAAATCCTTCCTAATATCTGGTTATTATAAATGCTTACAAACTGCTGATT